AATCCAGTAAATTGTTACAAACACTTGAAAAATACCTTTTTAAGATTTCAAATGAATAATAGAAACTTTCACAAAAAAACTCTCTTAAAGAGTAGATATATTACAAACGAAAGCTTATAAACTTATTATGAGAGCTTTTTCATGAACTTTTTCAAGAATGATGAATGAATGCTAAACATTCAAGCACAATTTAAAAGCTTTTTAGAATGCTCAAATAATGAAAAGTTCACTCAAGGATCAGAATTTTTATTCTAGACTTGAATTGTATCACATATATTGTTTTAACAGTTGACAGACCACTAGAATAGTGTTACTAACTGTTGGTGACATTTCTTGCATGCAACCTAACATATCACACATGGAATAGGGCTATCAAAGTTCTAGACATGCATATGTGACAATTTATGTGAATCTCAAGTTATGAATCTCAGTAATAAAATAACTCACTCTTATTTTGTTCAAAAAAAAAATAAATTACTCTTATTAACTATCACATGAAACAATATGAAAGTAAAGCGTAATATACCATTTAAACCTCATTAACATAGCATATATCACAAGTTCCACTTAAATCACATCAATGTTTTGCATTTTACCTCTTTACACCACTTTTCACTACTTTACTTGCACAAGTATCACATAACATACCATAGCATGATCACTACCAACTGAGTTTTTAAATCACCCTGACACAAAACCATAGGCTCGCCTTAGACTAATATACATTTTCATTGACCTTGAGCTCACTTGTAGTAGTAGAATCACCTAATCAAAGATGTTTCACGACACATACGGACTATGGTTTACCCCAATACATACAATGAGGTGTCGTTAACTCTAACATCGTATCACATAGACAAGTTTTACTCTTTAATTCAAAGTTAATGCTATTTCCTAGAAAGTTGAACTCTAGGTGGTTGGGTCCTTTTATTATGGTTCAAGCATTTACTAATGGAGCTATTGAATCGAAAGGTCAAGATAATGAAAAATCCAAAGTGAATGGATAGCAACTAAATTGGGGCAGTGAGGTGGATTATCAAGCATCTACTATCTAATTGTCTGATATAACCTAAGAAGTTGAAAAGTCAAGCTAAAAGATTTTAAATCAAGCATTCTTGTGAAGCAACCCAATCTCTTAAACTTGCTTTTTTGTGTTTAGTTAGATTTTTTTGTGTTATTAGTATATTTATATTTAGTCTTATGTTTTGTAGGTAAAGAAAGGTTCCTGAATGAAGGAAAAACATATGCTAAGGGTATATAGAGAAGAATTAAGAAATTGGTGGAATTATGCATTTTCAGGGAAGTGATCTCACTCCAAGTCTATTTTGCTATTCAGACTTTACTTTGAATTTCAAATATGATATTGGAGCTGTGAAAAAAAAGTTGAATATGATTTGCACTCATTGACTAATGTGTATTTGATATGAAATTGGTTATTATCTAAGTTATGTCTTCATTATGCATGTTTTGTTAGTATGAAGTTGATTATGATGTGAATGTGATAAACTCTTGTATATCTAGTATTGAGTGGATTTAGATTGATCTAGAGTGTATTTATGTAAAGAATTGACAGCTAAAAATTTTCATTTGAGCTTGATCTTGATTTATGGAATTTGATATGAATTTATTGAGTATCAATGTTTTTGAATGTTGGGGGCTGGTTATTGATGCCTATTCATTGAATTTTTGGTATGAAATGATATTTTGAGTGCTGTGGGATTGCATTTTAGCTAAATTGCTATTATGTGATCTGATAAATTTTAAGTCGTAGCTAAACCTTTAGCCAAGAGCTTTTGGTTGTAGCCAAAGAAGAATTGACTATAGCCAAGACTCTTGGTTGAGAGGTTTAAGCCACGACCAAAAAAGAATTAGCCATGGCTTAACCATCAGGCTTGGATCTCCTGGCTACGGCCAAGAAAGAATTAGCTGTAGCCAAGAGGCGCTATCCTTAAAAGAAATTCCTTTCTTTTCTAGATTACTGCTTCACTCTTGACAACCCTAACATCTTTTTTCTTCTATTCCCTTCTCTTCCATTCGGTTCTCTTTATATATATATATATCTCTCTCTCTCTTATCCTTTCACTCTTACTACCATCCACCTCTCTTTCACTCACCCTTCACAATTTTTTGACTAGTCAAAACCTGTGCCTCCTTAATCTGGATGCTTGTTTTCCCTCCCTCTTCCTCACTGTGACCCTTACCTCACCTTACCCATCTCTATCTCTTATCGTGCTTGCAAGAAAATCTCACCCTTTGAAACTATCAAGCTTATCTCTCATCTCTACTTCTCCAACACCCCCATACACACCCCCCATCAGCTACCCTTACTCATCATTCATTGATATACACTCCTACTTCTAACGCCATCGATCTCCCTATGAGCACGCTTGCGGCTACTTCTCACTGTCACACTTCAGCCCCTTCCATTCATAAATGTGATTGAGATGCAAGTCTATAGAGTATTCTTTGGTTGTTCGTGAGTGACGCTTTAAGGTGGGTGTTATTCTATTGCTCAAGCTTATTACTAATTGTTTGAGCTCCCTATTCCCGTGACCTTATCTCTCTTTTCCTCTTGCTCTCTACATGCACAACCTATGATCTTGTAAGGTTTATTTCTACTCGTACTTGCTTGTATTTAGTGAATAGGACTAATAACTAGCTGGAGTTTTTAAGCTTGAGGTTGCTGATTAAAGAGGCTTGGGTGATAATTTTTTTAGAGTAGTCTCTGAAAAAAAAATTGCATTCGTGATAACCTGTTTGTGTCATTTTTGATGTGATGAAGCTGCTGAATAAGGGGTATAAGTGGACAATTTGGATTTTAAGGCAAAATTGGGCCACTAGAAATAGGTTGTTGTGCTAATTTTTCAATCTGGCATAGACTTACAATTTTGAAAATTTAGCCATTATTATCTCTAAGTTGCAAATGAGCTACTTTGTGCTTTTGTGATTTAATTACAAATGCACTTTGGGAATTGTTTTAAGTAGGATGTAGGATCACCTTTGTGATGGTGAACATTTATTGATCTAGTATATATTAAAACTCTCAATTAAAGCAATTACTAATGATTGTTTCTAAAAAATGAGAGACTTTTGTTGGCTTGTTGAGTGTACTATGGTCTAAGAACTGTAAGAGTAGGCTATACAAATTTGTATAGTCATGATTGAGGAATAGGTTGATGATGATGTTGTATTTACGAATTTGGTGAATAGATTTGGCATTAAATTTGAATAATGGGATAGATTTTGAAGGTGAGGCTACTATGTTGCGAGCATGACAATTGATGAAGTTGAGAATTGGAATTAAAGTCATTAGAGGCTTAGAGGTGTTTAAGTTTAGAGGATCCTTTTTCTTTTTTTAGTTTATTTTACATAGTTCTAGTTTTGGTGTATTTCCTTTCCCTTTTTGTTTGTTTCTTAGTGTGTTTGGTTGTTTTCCTTTTTCTTTGGTAGATTTTATGGCTCCTAAGTGCTCTAGTGCTTCTTCCTCTACATAACCAACTCTACCAACATCCTCTAATATGAAGGCACAAGTTGTTCAGAGGAAACCCTTCTAAGGAGAGAATTTTCAGCTACTAACAAATTCAATTTTTATAGTATCGCATTTAATATTTACCATTTAGGTGAGGTCTTAGTCTAAAGAAAAATGCAAATTTAATTGTGCTGCAAGAATAATATACTTAAGCTTGCATTGGAGATTCCTAAAATGGTACTTTGTGGAATGTTGAGTTGGATTTTACAATTGCTAAATTATATAAATATGTGAACTTGCCTAAGTGCCTAAATTGCAAATACAGCTACTACCTTAAGCATGAGGACAAGATATCTTATGATGAGGTTGCTAGAAAGCTTGACTTTGAAGGTCGAGTGGAATAGTGGATACCTTTTGGTAGCCAAAGGTACTTGGATAGAAAGTGCTTTACTATTAAAGCCAAGATTTGGCTCCATTTATTAAGAACTACATTTGCCCATTGACAAACAGGAGTGAGTTGGCTGGGAAAAAGACCTTGTTAATTTATTTGCTGATGGAAGACGAACTACTTAATTTAGGTATCCTCATGTATCAATCTTTACACACTGAAATTATTGATCACTCTTGTGATATTGTTCTTCCTCATCTAGTAGCTGCTTTTTGTAAGGAAAACAGGGTATGTGACACCTTTTATATCCTTCAGATATAGGAGAAGATTAAAATGTTACCACATCACAAATAACAATTAGTAATCAAATGTTTTATTTAAAAAGCTTGGGCCTAAAACTCGTTTTACAAAACCATTCAAAACAATGCAATTAGAGCAATACACAGGGGAAGAAAATCATATATTTATCTAATTGTAGTGGATGTAACCTGTGAGCACTCTAGTCTCAATTGCATGCGTTTTCATCATAAAATAAAGTTGAGATTTGGTCCATGCATCACAGCGTGCAATACATGTGTCACGACATGTGGCACAGAGCCACACACTTAACCTGTTTTATGTCATGCACTGTGGCATGTGTCATCATGCATCACGGTGTGCCTGTTTGAATTTGTGCTGTTATTTTGATAGCAAAAATGATGAACTTTCGGTGTACACCATTTTCCCACACGATATCCAATCGGAGTGATTCAAGCGCCCATATGTAGCTTATCTCATAAACTAACTAATGAGATAGGTTTGGACATGATCTAAAGATCCGATCAAAATTTAGACACCTGAGTGTAAAAAGTCATTTTTTCTAAAAACATTTACACATCTAAGTGTTCAAATCGATCCCTTTCTCTTATTAGATCAGGCCTTAAATCAAGTCTAAAAGGATCTAATACACCTGATTGACCACCATGTATCATAGTCATACACACATATCGAAATCTAACCCTTCTATGGACAATTTTCACATTTTTTAACTTTTCACAAATTGCCATTTATTAGCATATCATAGGCTCGTTGGCCTTTTTCTCAACATAATTAAATACAATCATATTCATAACACAGGTACATTACAATATTAGCCCCAAATTACTCATTTTATCATAATTTCTCACTTAGGCTTAAGATTCACCTTCAATCACAATAATTTCACACAATCATGGCCAAATCATAGCCCCTAATTTAAAACACCACAAATATACACATTCAGGCTATAATTTCACAAATACATTACTTAAAATATGCATGTAATCCTATAGCAACTCATATACACATATATACAAAAATTCTTAGTTCAATTCATTTTCACAACTTCGAATATACATGGCTTCATAACTCAAGCCGATATAAACTTTCTTCTATTGCTTTGATCACTGCCCGGTCCTGTAAACATGTAACCACGAGGGTGAGATAAAAATCTCAGTAACAGAATAACTCACTCGTATTGACTATCACATGCAACAATATGAAAATAAAGCATAATATATCATCTAAATCTCATTAAAATAACATTTATATCATATATCTCATTTCCTTTCATATTCATATATCACATATCCATTGCTTACTTTTCATTGCTTTCACATATCATTCCATAACATCTCATAGCATCTCTTAACATCTCACAACATTATATAGCATGATCACTACTGATCACACCTCTAAATCACCCTGACACAAAACTATCGGCTTATCTTAGACTAATATACACTCTCATTGGCCTTGAGCTCACTTGTAGTGGTAGAATCATCCAGCTAAAGATGTTTTAACGCATATACGGACTATGGTTTCCCCCAATACATATAATGGGCTGTTGTTGACTCCAACACTGTATCACATAAACATTAAGAAGTCTCATCTCCAATACTGCACCTCAATAGGCATTAAGAAAATCTTCTCTAATATCGCACCTTACAAGGCACTAAGAAGAATTGTTTCCAATACCATACTCTATCGGGTACTAAGAAAACCTTGCCATATGATCTTTATTATCTCCTTTACTTAGGTGACCTCCCACCCCTATGATCATGCTTTCTAAACCATTTAAGTTTCTCATTTACTATTTTACTCATTTTCTCAAACATAGCATATATATTGCATACCATTTGAAAACACCCATTTCAATACTTTTATTCAATCAAAAGCTATTTCATGCAACACTCAGACAATGCTATAAATCATGCTTAATTTAAAATAAGTTCATACACCACATAGCATACTAACATATGGTTACAATGAACAGTCAAATAAAGGAAGTTATTCAATTATCTCAACCCTTCTGTCACTAAAAAGGTTATTCATGGATTTCAACAACCACAATAGCTTATCTTAAGCTTCTCTTCTCTACTCGCACACCCAATATGCCAATCTGAACACATTTGATGTAAGGTCTTCCTTACTTAACCACAATTAACTTCATAATCAAGGTAATCAAGAGATAAATCCTCAAAGGATTACTAAAGGTGTAAAGTTTCATAAGAGATGAAATTTCTCAAATCCTTTAGAATGGAATCCCAAATTCAGCATTTTAAATCTCAAAAAATAGTTATTAAGCTCAAATCAGAGTTTGAAAATAGTGCAAAAGCTTAGAAAACAAATGGGACCCAAAATAATGAGTTTTAAAACTCAAAAATAGATTTTGTATAAAAAACAACACGCGCACCACTACTCATCCTTCTCTATGCCATGAGCCGCAGTGTGAGACACCATGTGCCATGGTGCATTGCATGAATTTGATAATATCAGTGCTATCAAAATAATAGCATAGGGAGTGAACTTTCGATGCTTCCCAAATCTCCATCCGATATCCAATTGAGGTGGTTTTAGTGTCTACGTGGAGCTTTCTTCTAGCTCTAGCTAACAGTACTGGTTTCACCCTCAAATGCTTTTTCTATAAAAAGTTAGACAAGCAAAACCTATTTTGACCACTTTTCACAAAAATCTCAAAACTTTGGTGTTCCAACATAACCATAAGTGCCATAAGCCTACACTGATCATCCGACCACACTTAATAGACTCTAACGGACCCATACAACACACCATACTCAATCAAAAACACATTTATCATAAAATCACAACTCAATCCCATTTTTCACAAAACATAAAAGGGATGGAAATGTTGCATAAAATCATCATTTTCATTTTAAATCTTTTAAATTACACATGTTTCTACTTGCACAAGTATTTTAGCCCTATCCACGGGTCTACAACTAAAACTCACCAACCCAGGGCATAAAATACACAAGTTATAGACAAAATAATGCAAGTAGTGCAAAAATAATATCAAGTGATCCTAGTTGGCAAACACCATAACATATGTACATGAACAATAAAAAGGAGGCATATGGAGATTACTCCACAATCCTAGGCCTTCGTGTGTTTCCCCTAACTTGAATCCAATAAGCTAGGTCCTAAAAATATTAAGAATTGAGGGGTGAGTACAACCACTCAGTAACTAAGTTTTACCTAACCTATACAGTTGCATATCAATTGTAAAAATAGATGTAATTAGGCAAATACACAGATATCACATATAAATACTTGGCCAATTTTCATAAAACTAACAACCTTTGACTGGGCCCACAACACACAATATCATGTTATTTTGCAGGGCGCAACATGGGGTCATAATAATAACAACCATACACCCTTAGCACATACTGGACTATAAAACTAACAATCATGTGATCGAACTTGTATGCATGATCATATGCCAACTTATACCCTCTTGTTACCTCTGACATGAAACTGATGGCTATCACGTGGCTACATCCTTCACAAACTAACCCAGCCTTCCACTTGTGAGGAGCTATTGGCCAGGGTGAACTCGCTCATTTATGTAATTCAGTTTCTCCCAATACTAATAATCATGGAGTATCGTACCTCTAATCTATCTTCCTCATGAACCGGTGGAGATTAGTTAGATTTGAGTCCCTTGTAGAACAAGTAGGATAGTCCTGAATCAACCATAGGATAAGGGCTATGTCTTGATTCCAATGGTTACTGCCAATGTAAGTTCTCAATTCCAACGGTCACTACCAATACCACATGGATTTAAATCAATCTACTTCTCTCCCTAGGCAAACTCCTACCAAGGATCATGCTATACACATTTCTCACATACTAAACAATGAATTCATCACAAATAATCCATTGCACTCATATTTACATACTCCACATTCTCAACACATTACTTATCACAATTTTCTACCCAGAATAACATGCCATAGTTAAATCCATAAGTGGCATAATCAAATTTTTTCTTTTCAAAAACCATTTCACAAATCCAACACATTGCTAATATGCATTATGAATTTAAATCACCCATTATATTTCACAAACATAATTAACATTCAACTATAAAAATTAGATTTTCTCAAGTTACCTCAAGCCTTTGAGAGGTTAAAGGTTTACCCCTCAAGCAAAAATACTTCCACAGCTTCTCCCAAGCTTGAATGGTGAAAAAATTGAATCTTACTACATCCATAATACAAGGATGCCATCATTGTCTCAATCTTGAGGATTTACTAATACATATCTCCACACACTCTATTCTATTAACCCATAAATCACAACCTATTCATACCCAATAGGTTCATTAGGTTCCATTAATACATATTATCACTAATAACACTTCAAACCAATTAATGGACATAAATCTTTCCCAACTACCTCATTAATATTGATTTTCAGATATTAAATACTCTCATAAACCAACCAGTACCATAATCATCAATGTGGTGTTCCAATACCTTAAACAACTCCCATTATACTCATTTTAATCAATGAAAATAGGCCCATACTCCTATAAACTAAAAATGAACTCTTCAACTCAAACCCTATCATAAATCTCCATAAGTGAGGGAGAGAAAGGAAGAAAAAGGCTTAATAAACTTGCCTTGGTGTTTGAGAGCTTCAATCTATCCTCAATGTGATCCCACAACATACCCTAGTAGAGCCAAAGTTGAACTCTTTATTTTTCTCTTCTCCTCCTCTCTGGTTTTCACACAGAATGCGAACTAATTTATTAAAAATTTTGGCCATGTGCCATAACACACAATGCCCTCCGCTGAGACACATGGCATAGAGAGGCTCATTACATTCAAATCTACCCTTGTGCGTCGTGGTGGATTTACCATACGCCACGGCATATGGCATGGAGAGAAAACCTTCATTTTTTTCTTCCTCTTTCCTTACCCAAGTGGCCTGACATTAATCTGGACCCACTTCTAGGGCTGAAATCACAACAATTACACTAATTTAAGCCCATTTATCCACACACCTCATTAACTTACTAATCAAAATCATTAGATTAACTAATCATGATTAAATTTTTTGGGATATTACATTTGGCACATTTTAGTCATTTGGCTCATTTTGACCAAAAACTCATATTTATCCATTACTTAAGGCTATATTCAACTGTAAACTCTTTTTCATTTATCCATTCTAAATCTATTACTACTCACCTCAACTGGTCTTATTGTACTCAAACACAATTTTTACCCTAAACTTTCTCTCTCTAAGGGCTAAATTGAGCCTATGGTTTTAAAGCTCTATCATTTAGCTTTAAACCATTCGTAAAGCTCTAATTTAACTCCCAAGAACCTTCTTATCACTATTGGGAAAGAATTAAACCCCTTAAAATCCCACCAATTCAATTTCTCTATAACTTATTTTCAAAGAAATTTGTGTAAAATGGAAGGTAAGAGTTATATGTAGCTTACCTGACAAGTTATCGATCCGAATCACCTTCTAATGACCTTAAATATCTTTCTTTAGTTTCTCAACCCTTCTCCTCTCCCTTTCTCATGTGTTCCCAAAATCCTCTCTTCTAGAATTTCATGACTTATAAAGGAAATTTCTGGCCCATGTGCCATAGCGCATGCAACACAAACTGCGGCACATGGCACTGTGAGATTTATTCTCACCATGTGCACTTGTTACAATCCGAAACACACTCATATCTACTCATACAACACACCAACAAGTCAAATTATCAAGTAGTCATCCAAATCTCTAATCCCATACTAATTTCTACTTTACTCACGATTAGCAACTAATCTCAAGATTAAGAAATTCAGGATGTTACACGTGATAAAGTTGGTGACCATCCACTCTGTAACCTTCCAAAGTCTAAACTGCAAAGTTTCCCTTATTAACCCAAGTTTTACTCTAAATCATGGCAACCTAAGATTTAACCCCAAAAGGATTACTGAATGTAAAGTTTATAAAAGGAATTTCTTAAAATTCTTTTAAAGGAAACACAATTTCAACAATTCAAATCTCATACATTGTTTAACAAGTTGTATCAGAGTTTTGAAAGTAAAGCGGGAGCTAGGAAATCAATTAGGACATAAAATAATGGGTTTTAAAACTAAAAAATAGATTTTATGTATAAAGTATCACATGTATCGTGGCTTAAGGCATGTGCGCCGTGGCGTGTCTTCTCTGTGCCATGTGTCGTGGCGTGAGGTGCCATGCACCGTAGTGCATTGTACGAAATTTGATGACATTAGTGCTGTCATTTGACAGCACAGGGAGTGAATTTCCAACGCATCCCAAATCTTCGTTTGACGTCCAATTGAGGTGGTTTCAGTGTCTATACGGAGCTTTCTCCTAACTCTAGCTAAAGGTATCAGTTTCATACTTAAACTCATTTTACATAAAAAGTTAGACACCAAAAACTATTTTGACCACTTTTTTACAAAATTTTACAAATGGGTGTCCCAACTCAACCACACATGCTAATAGCTTACACCAACCATTCGACCATGCTCAATGAACTCTTACAAACTCGTATAATGCACCATATACAATCAAAAATACTTATTTCATAAAATCATCACTCAAACCCGAATTTCACAAAACATAAATGAGGAGGAAATGCCATACAAAATCAACAATTTCATTCTAAATTTCTCAAAAGACATATGTTTCTACTTGTATAAGTATTGTGGCCCTATCCACGGGTTCACAACCAAAACTCATTAACCCAGGGCATACAATACACTAGTTATACACAAAATCATACAAGTAGTGCATAAATTATGTCAAATAATCCTAGTTGGCAATTACATTAATAAATACACATGAAAATAACTAAAGAGAGGCATATAGAGGATTACTCCACAATCCTAGGCCTCTGTATGTTTTTCCCGACTCGGATCTAATAAGTTAGGTCCTAAAAATGTTGAGAATTGAGGGGTGAGTACAACCACTTAGTAACCAAGTTTCACTTAACCCATACAATTGCATATTAATTATAAATAGATGTAATTATGCAAATAAGCACATGTATCACATAACACTCAGCCACAGTTAACAAGTCTAACAACTATGTGACCGGGTTTTCAATAAAACACTTAATCATGTTATTTTACAAAACATAACACAAGGTCGCAAAAATAACAACCATATGGCCGGACTTATATACATGATCATATGCCAACCTTATATCCTCATGTTACCTCTAACACAAACCAGGTGGCTATCATGTGACTACATCCTTCACGGACTAATCTAGCCTTTCACTTGTGAGGAGCTTCTAGACTAGGGTGAACTTACTTATGTAATCTAATTTCCCCTAATACAAACAACCATGGGGTGTCGTACCCTTAATCTAGTCTCCTCATAAACCGATGAAGACTAGCTAGGTTCAAGTCCCTCATAGAATAAGTGGGACAATCTTGAATCAACTATAGGACAAGGGCTACCTCTCAATTTCAACAGTCGGTGCCAAGACTATTTCCTGATTCCAACGGTCACTGCCAATACTATGTGGATTTTCAACTAATCTACTCCTCTCCCAAGGTAAATTCATACCAATGATCATGCTATGTACATTTCTCACATAATATGCATTTCAACAATCAATTCAATATACATATACTCACATAACTCAATACTCCACAATTCAACACATAATATATTACAATTCTCTACCCATAGTAATAAATCATAATCAATTTCATAAAACACCAAGGTGGAAAAGTCAAGGTTTTCTTTCCAAAACCATTTCACAACTCAACACTTTGCCAATATGCATCATCAATTTAACTTATAAATCACATTTCACAAACATAATTAACATTCAACTATAAAGATTAAGTTTTTCCCGATTACCTTAAACCTTTGAGAGGTCAAAGGTTTACCCCTCACTATACCAACTTCCCAAAGCTTCAACAAGCTCAAATGGTACCAAAAACAAACCTCTCTACATCCATACTACAAGAATATCATCATTGTCTAACTCTCAAAGCTTTATCAACATATAACTCGACACACTCTATTTTTATCAAATCATAATCACTACCCATTCATACGCAATGGGCTTATTAAATTTCATTGATATACCTTATCATTAACAATACCTCAAACTATCATTAATGCACATTAACCTCTCTCCCAACTACTATATTTATGCAAATTTTCTGATAATAAATGCTTCTATGGACTAACCACTTTTAAGTTCATTAATGTAGTGTTCTAATACATTAAACAACTCCTATTATACTTATTTTAACCAATAGAATTAGACCCATATTCCTATAGATCGAAAATTCATCTTTCAAGTCAAACCCTACCACAAATCATCATAAATGAGGAAGAGAAAGGAAGAATGAGGCACCATAAACTTACCTTAGGTGTTTGGGAGCTTCAAAACGTCAATAATGGAAGCCAATATGCATACCCTAGCAGAGCTCCAATGTTCTCTTCATTTTCTTCCTTTCCTTTCTTCTATTTTCTTGCACAAATGCGATCTGATTTATCAAAAATTTTGCCCGTGAGCTACGGTGCATGGCACAGAGGAGCTCATTGTATTTAAATTCACCCTTATATATTGTGGTGGACTAATCATGCACCATAGCATTTGACACAAAGCATAATTCTTCATTTTTTCTTCCTCTTTACTTGCACTGATGGCTTGCTATCAATCCAGACCCACTTCTAAGGCAGAAATCACAACAATTATGCCAAATTAAGCCCCTCTGGCCACATACCTTATTAACTTACTAATTACCCTCATTAGGTTAATAAACCAGGGTTAAATTTTCCCAGATATTACACACTACTATCACACCTTTTAACTAAGAGCAATAAATAAAGGAATGCTCTTACACCACAGCCACTGTTGCCTACTGCTGATGATGTAGTTATGGATGAGTAACCGCTAATAGTAGAACCTAAGGTTTAACATCCTCCATAAATGGGGGTACTCACTCTGTGGCAATTGATGATGTAGCAAAGTATGATTGAAGCTTTACATGGTATCCATCTATTACCCAACGTCTTTAAATTCCTTAAGCACCACCTAATTTTGGACCTCAGTAAGGAGTAGCAGCCCAGATAAAGAGTATATGGAAGAGCCAAAGAGCCCTGATCCTGATGATTGACCTTATGTTCTATTTCTAATTTATTTGTAGTACTATAGTTGATTTAGGAATTAGCTGTGCATAGTAGATGTTTTGGGCTAATTGATTTACATAATATGACTATTTTGACTATAGACTTTGATTTAAAGGCTATTGATGGCTTGTCTATCTTTGCTGTTGCTTGATGTTTAGACACATGTTGTAACATTTCAAAAAATTATCCCCTTAATTAATTAAGCTAATAAAGGGTAAATTTGTAAATTTAAATGTAAATGGATTTAAGAATAGTTAAATACCACTATTGGGTTTGGTTTAGCTTTTGGATTAAGTTCAAAGTGAATTAGGTCTCCTAGACTCAAATTTTAAAGAAAAATTAAATTTTCAGCCCACTATGCATTATGTTACAATATAAAAATTTACGCTGCAACATAATTTCTAGAATCAATTTTCTTTAAAAACATGGAGACATCTAAAATAGAGAGACATGAACCAAAAATGGAGGGAGGGTGATGGAGAGAGTCTTTTCTCTACTAGAGCATCAACTTTTAAGAATTTTAGAAGTGATTGGAGCTTGATTTCACCTAGATATGCCTTTCTTATCCCTTCTTCTTCTCTCTATACATTTTGGAAGTAAGATTTGAAGTTGGAAGATGATGATTTTTGAACCTAAGGCTATAAGTCCAAACCTATTAGTCTAAATGGGACTAATGGAAATTGTTTGAGTTATCTAAGCCTAGATATAATGGTCTTATGCATCCATGAGAGTGGGATCTCAATTATGGATGAATTTGTACATTTAAATGCCATTAGTGATGAAAGTTAAGATTGTTGGAAGCCACTATTGGTGGTAGATGGGTTTAATATGTTGAACCCTAGTTTTGATGATTACAAAATAAAGAGAAGTTTTGTGTGTTTCAAGTTTTCTTAACTTCAACCTAAGTTAGTTGGCTTAATATTGATTAAATCTAACTAAGTGTAAGTTTATACGTAACAGAAGGTATGCTATCTTATTAGTTAAGTTTTTGACTTAACTATAATTCTAGTGCTTGAAGTTGTCTTGTTTTAAAGAGTATCTAAGTGTTGTTAACACCAGTACTGGAAGCTTTAACATCGATGCTATTTCAATTTTCTTCACTATTCTATTGATTCATGTTTCATATAACACCAATCCTATTCATTCTACCACTGGTGTTATCCTTTTTAAACATGTGCAATTAATTCTCTCTTATTTGAACTTTTTTCCTTGAACTGGTACTATCTTTTTAACATCGGTCTAATTATTTCCTCATCTTTATTTGAATTAAGACAACACCTATGTTACTTAGTTAGCACTTGTACTAAGTTTTGTACAAGTTTTTGTAACACCTGTGCTAACACTTCAACACCAATACTATCCTTTCTTTTTTCCTATGATGAGGTTTGATTGATATGCTATTTTAGTGTTATTTCCTTCTAACATCGATGCTAAGTAATCTTTATAAAAATATCCTTATTCACTCAAAATTATCAAAAATCTTTGTCTTTTACATATTGGACTACACCGATACTATTAGAACAACACTTGTACTATGACCTTCTTTCAGAGTTTGCTCATCACTATAACACCAATGCTAGGACACTATAACACCAATACTACTATGAATTTTTATGCTCTATTTTTTGTATCAATTTCAAAGGTCACCAAAACTCATCTTTCAATCCTTCTTTTCATCCAAAATCAATTGTGTTCACTATATATCTTTACTAAATGATATTTAAACACAATTATTTCCTTAAAGTTATTCATTTTTCCTATCTTTAATTATGTCACCGAGCTTGCTTTCTGTTATACCAAAACGTATAAACTTCAACCACTTTTGTTAGAAGCATTTAATGTTTTTAGCCGTTACTATACAAAAGTATAAGTCTCTATTATAAAGCACTATTCCGTTGCCTCATCCATTAAAGAACCTTAGAGAAGCTCAGATATCTAAGAAAACACAAAGCAAGAAGGAAACATATCACAAGTAACCTGTAATGGAAACATTTATGAGTCTAATAGATCATTTATAATCCTTAACTATAAATAGACTCATTTATAAAACATGAAGAGAGAAGTGGGAACAACGTGAACCATCAAAAACATTCTGTGTTTATTTGGGCATTAAATTTACCTACCTTCTATATATTATATATGGTTAGATAGCTTCATTGAGTATATATCTACTCTTAGAGAAAGTTTAAAAGCAATAGTAGTTTATTCTTGAACTTACTCTATTTATCCTTGTTTTACATTTTCAAAATAGAGGAACTTAAGTTTGAGCAGTTTAAGGAGATTTATCATTACTTTTGTAAGGGGGAGAGTTTCAGAATTATTGAGAAGTTTGTTGATGTACTGAGGCAAACAAGAGCATGGATTAATCTTGGTAATATAGTTAGAAATCTCAAGAGGTCCTGGGGATTAGACGTAGACTCAAGTAGTAGGAGTCGAACCAGGATAAATTATTTGTGTCAAGCTCTGCTCATCTGACTCTCATGATTGGTGATTTTATTCCTTCATCTCACTTTTTATTATTGTAATTCATTTAGATTTTTAATTAGCCCAATTCACCCCTCTCTTGGGGCATTTACATAATAAAGTTAGTTAGGGCTAATGGGAGTTAATAAACCTAATGTGGTGATTAAACTCATGAGTTTAGATTTTTAGGTGATTACAGTATTAAAATTTGAGAGTTGGAAGTGAGTAATTTGCAACATTGATGATAATTTTGGATTGTTAGATGATATATTAGTGATTATTTAAGTTTTTGAGAGCTAAATAAAATTAATGGGAGTTAAGGAACTCATTAGATGTGAGGTTGATCTTGTAGTTGAGAAATTTGGATATTAAAGCATGAAATTAAATGTTGGAAGTGGTGATTTTAATGACTATAGTGATAGATGTTAATATAATTGTAGACTAACCTCATAAAGCGCCAATGACCTTGGATTTAGGTTGGAAAGAAAGTTATGATTGAGAAGTAACCTTTGACCTCTCAAAGTTTTAAGGTAACTGGAGAAAATCTTGTTTGTATAGCTGTATGTTAATTCTTTGTTAGTTGAATTAATTCATTTGAAAGTTTATTTAGGTAGTCGAGAACGTATTGATGCAATGTTACTAATATGATGAATTATATGTTTGATATTGTATTGAATTGTTGAGAATGTTATATATATATATTTATGTGATCATTGATGAATGAAAGCATGTAATTGTGAAATTGATGAACATGTGATATTTGGTATGTGGAGTATGATGAATATGATTGTGGTATGTGGATTATAGTGAAGAAAGAGAATTATGTTAGCATGATATGATGTGATTACTATTGTTTGAATGGCATACATCGTGTTATTTGTGCATGGCATGATCATTATAGAGGCAGTTCGCCTATAAGGAGGAGCAGATTAGCAAATCCACGTGGTAATAATGGCTCACTGTTAGGAATCAAAAGCTTATCCCAATCGTTGGAATCAGGAGATGGCGGCCATTGTCCTATGGTTAATTCAAGATTGTCCCACTTGTTCTTTGATGGATTTAAACCTAACTAGTCTCCACTAATTCGTGAGGAGACTAGATTAGGGATACGACACCCCTATAGTTGTTAGTATTAGGGGAAACTACATAACAAAGGTAAGTGAGTTAACTCTAGCCTAGCAGCTTCTCATAAGTAGAAGGCTTTGTTAGTTTAGGTTTTGGACATAACCTCTAAGTAGCCATTGGTTTCATGTCAAAGATATCAGGAAGGTATAAGCTTGGCATTGATCATGTATTTTACTTCCAGCCACATAATTGTTATTATTGTGGTTTAGCATGTTTTCATTAAGGGTGCATGGTTGTTATTATTATGACCCAAGATATGCATTTTTGAAATAAATGTGATAATATGCATTAGTGCCCGGTTACATGGTTGTTAGTTTTGTAGTCAAGGCTATAATTGTAAAATATGTATGTGATGCTTGTGAAGTTATTTACTTCCCATTTGCATCTATAATTAATTGATATGTAATTGTATAGGCTACATTAACCTTAGTTACTGAATGGTTGTACTCACCTTTCTATTTAACATTTTACAGGTACTAGCTCTGATTAGGATAAAGAAAAGGCATGTGAGGTTTAGGGATAAAATTTCCTACTAAATGCCTCAATTACTTTTGATTAATGTGTAATTATCATGATATTGCCAACTAGGATGTTCATATTTCATTATACGTGCACCATTGAATATTGAGCATTAAAATGTGTATTTTGGGCCCTAGTGTGTGTGATATCTTTTTTATTTGAGATATTTGTGCAAGGCCAAAATACTTATGCAAGTAAGGAATGAGTATATTTATAAATGATAGTAATTTAGATGTGGGATTACATG